TCTATAATAATGGGTTCTCAATTATGGATGAAATTATACCCTAAAATGTCATAAATGGTGGTGCTTGAGGTAGGTAGCTGCTATTTATGTGGATTAAGGATTGTGTTTGTGTTTGTGTTAGTTTGAGCTAATGAGAATTAATAAGCCTAATGTGATAATTAAACTTAATAGTTGAGAGCTATGGATTATTAAACTGTTGAAGTTTGAGAGTTGGTAGTTAGTAATTTGTCATATTAATGACAATCATGGGTTTTTGAATGATATATTAGTGATTAATTAAGTTTTTGAGAGCTAAATAAAATTAATGAGAGTGAAGGAACTCATTGGATATGAGGTTGATTTTATAGTTGAGAAATTTGATTATTAAAGTATGAAATTAGATGTTAGAAGTGGTGATTTTAATTATTAATAGTAATACATGTTAATGTAATTGCAGACTAACCTCATGAAGCACCGGTGAGCTTGAATTTAGCTTGAAAAGCAAGTTATGATTGAAGAGTAACTTTGACCTCTCAAAGGTTTGAGATAACTAAAAAAAACCTAGTTTATATAGTTGAATATTAATGGATTCTTATTGAAATAGATGATTTAAAACATGTTTACTATTTTAAACTCTTGATGTAAAATCGGCATATTTGAGAATGTAATATTGTTGAAGTATTGTGTTCACTTACATATGAATAATGATGATGAGTGAGATTATGTGAGTATGTACTATTTGTTATGTGGTATTTGGTATGTGGAGTAGATTATGTAAGTATGGATATGTGAATCCATGTTATGTGATTGATGATTAAGATGCACGAATATGTGGTATACATGCATAGTATGATCATTGGCGGGAGTTCATATAGGAAGAGGAGTAGATTGATAAATCCACATGGTATTGGTAGTAACTATTGAAATTGAAAACTTGCCTTGGCACCGACCGTTAGAGTCAAGAAGAAGCCCTTGTCCCATGGTTGATTCAAGATTGTTCTACTTGTTCTATGAGGAATTCAAACCTAACTAGTCTTCTCAGTTCATGAGGAGGCTAAATTAGAGGTACGACACCTCATGGTTGTTAGTATTAAAAAAAACTAGATTACATAAGTAAGTGAGTTAACCTTGGCTTGGTAACTCCTCACAAGTGAAAGATTGGATTAGTCCGTAAAGGACATAGCCACTGAATAGTCACCGGTTTCATGTCAGAGGTAATCAGGAAGGTATAAGGTTGGCATATAATCATGCATTTAGTCCCGACCATATAATTGTTAGTATTATGATCCGGTAAAGTTTAGGGGAGCATGATTGGTATTATTACAATCCCAGGTTGTGTGTTATTGATATATATATGGTTATGTGTTTGAAGCTTGGTCATATGAGGCTATACATTGTCATACATACTTTATATGTGTGTTTATTGTCAATTACATCCATTTTCGATTGATATACAACTGTATAGATTAAAGGAAACTTGGTTACTGAGTAGTTGTACTCACCCCTCTATTTAACATTTTACAAGCATTAGTTTTGAGCAGAACAAGGAGAAAGGACTAGAGGTTTGGAAACTCAATTTTCTATTGTAGGCCTCTCATAATTTTAATTACATACGTGTGATTAATTGATATTACTAACTAAATTGTTTATATTTTGTTATTACTTGTACTATTAAATATTGAATATTGAAAGGTGTATTTTAGGCCTAATGCGTATGATATTTTTTTAGTTGAGATAGATGAGCAAGGTTACCAGTACATGTATAAATTTGACTATATGCATGATTATATTAGATTATATTGAGTTTTGAAGTCAAAATGCCTCCCCCTATTATTTCTTAAATCAAGGGATTGAGGGTTGAAATTGTAAAATATGTGATATCTGATTGTTGTGGCGTGTTACATAGTTTGTCTTAAACTTATTGAGTATGGTCTAAGGGTTGGTGTAGACTTTTTGCACTTGAATTGAGTTTTGGACACCCTAGTTGTGTTTTGAAAACTTAAATGAGTGAGTTTGCATTTTTATGTTTAACTTTTGATTGAAAAATTATTTGAATATGAAAAGTACCATTAGCTAGAGCTCAGAGAGAGCTTTCTGTAGACACCAAAATTACCTCAATCGGACATCGGATGAAGATTTGGTGTGTGTTAAAAGTTCAGCCAAAAAATCTACCATGACAACTTGTTGCTGTCATGGATTTTACTGTTTATGCCACAACATAACATTTTATACTGCAGTGTAATTGTGTCAGAATTAGTTTTTTTATTATTTTGATCCTAGTTTGATTTTATCTTACCTTGTGTGATATCCATGCTTTTGTATACATGTTTTGGTCTGATTTTAGTTTATGAAAATGATTTTATATCATTTTAAGTTTTGAAAATTTGAGGTCCCATTTATAAAAATTTTATAAACTTGATAATTTATTTAGGTTATTCCTGTGATTACCTTAATTTTGTGGAGTTAATTGTGGTTAAGTAAGGATGACCTTATAGCCTTTCTAGTTTTTGATGCATGAAGCCACTTATTCACCGATGATGTAGATCAACGGAGTAAGACCTTCCTCTTCTCTCTTTCTAATTGTCGGTATGGGAACTAAGAGACATCGTTCATCTACCGTTATGTAATCGTTTGTCCATCCTTGCTCAACTCTTTCCTTGCATAATCATCATTGTTGTTCTTTATCTTGATTCAAGCATTGGCATTATGCCTGTGCGTGGTTGTCGTCACCGTCCCCATTGTAGTTGTGAAGTAGGGTGGAGGGTAGAGGGAGAGATAAAAGAAAGGGTTGGAGGGCATTTTAGCAAAAAAATAATCAATCTCAAGATCAATTTTTCAATACCAAAGGGCGGGTGGTCTTAAGTAATCCTACCTTGGTGAGATTAGGATTGGTATTGGGCTTAAATTTTTCATTACCTCATACCAAACATGAAAAGTGAGACTGCCTAATACCAGTCCTAATCTCACTCTCCTAATGCTTTGTACCAAACATAGCTTGAGTTTCTGAGAGATAAGGAGGAAAGAGAAATGCTCGTCAATAAGCTTTTTTTTCCAAGGCCTGTTTTATTGCACTACTTATTTAAGTGTATACTTGAATTTAAAAAATTTGTAACTAGAAATGAGTCAATTGAGATTAGCATATTAGGATTAGAAGAAAGATTTGTAATTTTAATGTGATTTATATTTGACTACCTTTTTTTAGTAGTTAATTGGACAAATTAAATTTTGTTAAGATGATGTAGTTTAAAATCCAGTTAAAGTGTATAATAATAAAAATAGATATTATTTTTCTTATATATATTTTTGTGACTAATTTGATTTTTTTAAAAAATATTAAACTTAAAATTATAATTTTAAAAAAAGTAAATTAAGAATATAAAATAGCATGATAAATAAAAAATATTAATTTTTAAAAAGATAGAATGAAATGAAAAATTACAAAATATTCAACTATGAAAAGTGAAAATTTATAAATTATAAATATTCATAAAAATATTTAATAAATTCATAAATTATAAAATATTTTTTTGTAAATTAAAAAATCTAAAATAAATTGAAAAATTATAATTTCATTAAAAAATATCCATTTTTTTAAAAAAAATGAAGAAATTGAACACCTGTGCTTTTCCCTTTTTTTTTTAATCAAAGTTTGCTCTTGCTAGTACTCCCTTAGCATCTTCTAGACGGATTCAGAAGCTCCTTCCCTTAGCGTCTCTAATCTCAACCCTCTAATAAAAATTCAATGTCCCATAATTTGCCATATCATCTAATATAAAAATAATTTTACTTTAAAAATTAATTCTTTCATTAAATTGATTTTTTATTTCATTTTCTATTTTTAAAACTTCTTCTAAAAATTATGCTACAGATTTTCATAAAATAATTTATAGTCTAGCTTATTCAAACTCTAACTTGACTTATTTAATAAAAATATATTTTAAAAAAAATCTCCAGAGTAAGTTAGACTTTAAACAAATACTTATAGTCTGGTTTATTTTAAACTCTGGCATGATCTATTTAATAAAATCCTATTTAAAAAATTTATAGAATAAATCAAATTGTAAGCAAATACTTATAGTTAGGCTTATTCAAACTCTGACTTGATCTATTTAATAAAAATATATTTAGAAAGTTTTTAGAACAAATTAAAAGAATTAATTTTTAAAGTAAAATTATTTTTATATTAGATGATGTGGTAAATTATGGGACATTAGATTTTTATTGGAGGGTTGAGATTAGAGATGCTGAGGAATGCTAAGGGGATGAGCTTTTGAGAGGATCTGAATCCCTTTTAGATGCCTTCTTTCACACGGAACACTATGAGACATGAATCATTGTTGTCGATAGTTGTGGCCTATAGAGAGTAGCTTGTGGTATCTCTGATTGTAGGGATAAAAAAGAGCAATAGAGTCTTGATGGAAAGAATAGAACTTATAAAGCAATCACGATGGCCTTGACCTCCTCAGACAAGCAACAACAACGAGCACAATGAAAATTAGTGATGGCAACGAGGAGGAGGAGGAGGCAAAAATGAGCTTCTGAAGACTAAAGGCAAAGGAAGGTGAAGAGCAATAGGTAATTAAGATTTGACAGTGCAAAGAGAAGAGCATTGATGAAAGTTAAAAGGTGATAAGTAAGAGAGAGAAGAATCTAACATGTCTAATATTTCACCTATCACAATGTTTTGTTAAAAAGCTCTTAAGGATAGCTTCAACTAAAATACTTGATTGAGCTTACTGCCTGTTTTAATAATTTATTTTTCCCTGAAACAAGACCTCAATTTAGCAAATGGGCTTTTCACCCTCCCAACCTAAATTTAGGCTATCCCAACTTAGGTTAAAAAGTAAATCAAACATGGCTTGGGTTTTTTTTTCCTCCCAAAAAAGATTTGGAATGAGATAATGAGCGTTCTCCCAAATCTCAGTTGAAAGGTAAACTAAACACACCTAAAATTCCCATTGAACCGCATGTAGAAGAACGTGGGCCATTTATGTCTGCTTCACTGATCATGAACGACCATCTCCAATCAAACATACCCAAAATTCCTATCGAACCACGTTTAGAAGAACATGGGCATTGTATGTCTGTTTCATTGATCATTAATAACTATCTCCAATTTCCAACTATAACTAAACTTTGCATTACTATGTACAAAGCGCGAGGAAGAATGGGAAAGATATATCGGCCATTTAAGAAGATATGTCAAGAGTCATTTGTCTATCGAAAGACTCCGAATTAAGAACAACAGCACCTTCGAAGCTCTTGAGATTTACCCGAGAGCCACGAGAAATGAAGAACAGGGCAAGCTGCAAGTGCCCTGCCTCCGCCGCACAATGAAGCGGAGTATAGCCGGCATCATCCACGGCATCAATTTCAGCTCCATGTTCAAGCAATACCTTCACACTCTTGATTCGACCTTTGAAGGCAGCCCAGTGCAGCGGAGTCCACCCATTCTGATCCTTCCTATTTACATTCGCTCCATTTGCAAGACAGCTCGTCAGTCCATGAACATCGTCGAGTCTGGCTGCTCGGAGCAACGCGTCCCCCCAGTGCAGCAGATCCAGCAAGTGCGAGTGCCCATTGTCCACTGCAAGCGAAAACGCCGTCTTCCCTTCTTTATTCACTGCGTATTTCACGTTACAGCATTCCAACAGACACTCCACAGCCTTAAAATGACCTCCCGAAGCAGCACAGTGAAGCGGAGTCCATCCGTTACAATCGACCACGTTCGGGTTCCCTCCAATTGAGAGGCAAAATTGAATCGCCTCCACATGCCCATGAAGCGCCGCCACGTGAATCGGAGTTCTCCCTTCGGAATTTACCAAGTTTATGTCCATCTTACCGAAAGATTCAGATAAAATCTCCAACAAATCCACCCGGTTCATCGCCACAGCTTCGTGCAAACTTGAATCGACCGAGTGATCTATACTACAACAAGAGGCCAGTAAAATCTTTAGAACGTCCATTTTCCCAGCCCTAACAGATAAATTTATGAGGGATGGTCCATTTGAGTCCCTCAAATTCACGTCTCCTCCGGCATCAATCAGAGCGGAAACAGCATCTTCGTTTCCACATTCAACAGCGGGTCTAAGCAACGCCGTGAGCTCTGACTGAGCGCACCCAGATATCGCTATCTTGAAAAGGGAGCCGCTTTGGCGAATTTGGGTATGTTGAGAAATCAGAAATTCGGCGACGTGGGCACCCACGAAGGATACAGGTAAAACGGCGTCTCTGAAAACGTGGGGTCCCGGTTTGGAAAACAAGCGGAGAAGATCGTTCTGATGGGCCTTACCGGTGGGAAGCATGGCGGTTCGGACAGTGACGACGTCGGTAGGGGTAGAGAGAGGAGGTTGATCGGACGGCTGACAGAGGAAGAGGATGTATGAAGACGTAGACAGCGGAGGGATTATAGAGAAGGGCCGATTTAAGGAGAACAAAGAAGGGTTTGTGGTGGTGAGAGACACAGCCACGGGCATGGTGTGCATAAGGTTGGTGAGTTTGAACGATGCGCTGCACCTTTGGCCTTTCTTGAAGATCACCTCTACTTCCTTCTCCTCTGCCTTCACCAGTCTGTCCATCGTGATTGCTGACCACTGCTTGGTAAGTAGAGAGCTCGTCTCTCCTGGAAAACCAGGGTTCAAAATTGAACGAGGCACGGAGTGCCAGATTGGAGGCTGTTAGCTTAAATGTTGTCCAAATATTGCCACCCGCAATTTTTTATTTTATTGGTCAGACTGGTTTAGTTACATACTCGGAGCGTGATTGTTGGTTTAGGTGTGCTGACTGCGACGGTGAGGCTGGGTCATTGACCGTGACAGAGAATGGAGGAAGGCTGTGATTAGTCGCCGATGGCTTTATTTGAATATGAAGCAACTTGGAGGGATGACTTCGTTTATTCAATTTCAGCTTCTGTATTGGAAAACCAGGGGAAACTTACACGGACTGATTCAAGAAGAAGATGATAGTGTCATGCAATTTCCTGATAAGATGAACATCCTTTTCCTTTTTCTCCAAGACTCTAGGCATCCCATAATCTTGTTCATGTCGCTGCTGGTAATTATAATTAACCGCTTTTGTCGCCAAAGATGGCATGTTTCACCTACATATACATTCCCTGGCTACATGTGAAAACGATTGAACAATAGAAAAATGTAGCGGTTGGAACTTCAGGGATCTTTCGTTAGTTATTATCAGCCCGTCCTCAGCACTCGGCAATCCATGCTTCGGTCCCCCGTGGATTTGTGGCCTTAAATAATGCTGCGCTGAAAAGGACGTTACTATTTGTTATGTTATGAAGATTGCTCAGGGGAACTGAACTCAAATGTTTCCCAGTTACTTGTCAGTCTCACCCGCCGCTCTTTCCGATCACGAGAATTAAGATTGTTCAGGGGAACTGAATTCAACTCTAACATTTCTATTTCTTGCCCTGAATCCTTTAGGTAAATTTTTACCTCATGTTAAGAAAATATCCAAACACTCCCCAAGGGTCAAAATGCATGCCCATATCTGTCCGCGCGAGGAGTGAAGAGCAAGTGCTGCTATGAGAAGCAAAATTCCTTTCGCTGTTCATCTTAGTTATCTGTATACACGTCCTTCCGCTAACGTTCCGTTTTTCTTTAGCCGAGATTGTGGAAATGTTCAGACATAACGAACACTGTACTATATTTAATTTTAATATAAATATTCTGATTCCGTGGAGTGCGAAAACAAATGCTCGGCCATTTCAACTTTGTCTTTATTGGGATTCGCTCAACGTACTGCCAAACAGAGAATCCAAGTTGTTCATTTGCCACGTGAGCAAAAGAGATTCGGTTGTTAGATGGAAAGAGGAAATGCGATGAGAGATGGATAAAGCCGAAAAGGGTACATTATCGACAAGAGCTTGAGATCACGAAACTGATGAACTGGCAGATGGGATTTTCTCCTTTCTCTCGAGTGGGTATTATTCTCATCATCTCCTGAGAACCGATTGGGTGTCTATTCTTTTGTTGTAGAACGATGAATGGCCAGGCCAATTTCTGCAGGAACCAGGCACCTACATCCCTTCTCAAATTGGAAAGGCAAGAAGCATAAAACAACACTCATTTTCTGTTTCCCTGTAACGGTCTTGTTCCTGACCAAGGTTGTTGTCTTCAAAAATTTGTGCATTTTCACTAGTTGAAGAAACCTATCATCTTTCCTTGATCATTCAACAGGCCTGCCGTTTAAGCCGGAAGTTTTGGATTCAGTTGGTCTTGAAACGTAGCCTCTGGAGATGGTGCGCCAGGAAGCGTCCCAGAAGGCCCATGAGTGGGAGCCACTTGTACTTGACTGCGAAGCCCGGCCCGTGATTTCTAAGCCTACTAATGCTTGGGCTATATCTCCACTACTTTATAACCCAAAAACAGTAAAAAAAGACCACAACTTCACCACACAACCTTCCAGGTTTGCACCTTCTGCTGAAGTTTGGGTCCATTGACTCTATTCTCCCCACCCCACCCCAAAAAAAAAAAAAAACAATTCCAGGTGTAATATTAAAAATAATTAATGTATGCAATCAGATTATTTAAAAGTAAAATATTATGAATATCCCATTTCAAAATGAAAACAGATTAATTTAAAAATGTTATATATTTATTACATTATTGTAGACTATGTTTAGATTGACAGATTTAATACAAAAAATGTGTTTGTGTGTGAGCGCACGCTTTTTTCCAAATATTGCAACATTTATTTGGTGTATGTGTGGAATGATGACATCAAAGTATTATTAATTTAAAGTGTATCGTGATTTTAACATTGTTAATTTAATTTAATGACCAGCTTCGTTGCCGAGAAACTTCCCGGAGATGAACGTGTCGGCATTTGAATCCAAATATTCTGTCCGTTTGGATCACTCGCAGTTCGTTCGCTGCAATGGGAACAGTTACGGAGAAAGCGCGGGCACGAGCATTGATTAAAGAGCAAGGGGGAAAATAAATTTAGGATTTTGAAAGTGATTTCCAACGCCAAACAAATGACATGTGCAGCTGAATCATTGCGTGTTGATTTGAAATATATATATATATATATATATAATAGAATAAAGAATCACTATGTTATTTATTTGTTTGAGAAAATACTGTCTTTTATCTTGTTCGTTCGCCTAGCGTCGAAAAAATTGATTTGGAAGAGGAAAGAAAAGAAGAAAACAAGGGAAAGGAAGAATAATAATGTTGGTAAAGCGTCGATGTGAGTTAAAATATAAACAAATACGGATACAAGTTGAAGAATCAGAAACACGTCACGGTAATCTGGCGTGGTCGTCTTCTCTTTTAATTTCTTAATGAATCAAACCGTCATGGCTGTCATCATCCCTCACCACTCCGAGCATCCATACATTTAACTACTAATTCTCAGACATTACAGTGTCCACGGTCCACACACACCGCTCTCAATTAATTCTCACCTGGTTCGTGCACTCCTTCTCATAAGAGCAGCCGAATCATTTTTTTAAAAAAAAAAGATACATAAAGGGGGAAATGAGATTAAAAGAAATAAGTATTACTGTATTAGTGAAGTGCAAGGAATGAGCGTTGTGGCTATATAAATGGGGAAGCCAGGATATGAAAGAGGTGAAAGGAATCCACCACGGGGACGTATGCCAGATGCAATGCACCAAGAGCGGAAGGGAATTGATCCCGCGACGACCGTCGTACGTTCATTGCAGAGAGGCATCCAATTACGAACCCTGTCTTCATTAATAAGAAAAAGCAGCCCCTAACAAAAGCCAAGACACGCCGCACCATCATAATTGCCACTCCTAACCACAGGATTTAGCGATGCAGTTAATTCAGAATATATATTCTACTCCATTGTTATTTATAAAAAAAAATATTATTTTTTACTTATTTTTTTATATAAACAAAATCATATATTTTAATAAATATTTATTACATAATTTTTAAATCACCCCTCATAATTTATATTAATAAAAAATAATTAATATATATTTATATTGATTAATATAATATGTTTTAGTTTAATTTTTTTATTTTTAAATATAATTATTATAATTAATTAATTTTTTTAAACTGTATGATATAACTTTTATATATATATATATATAAAAACAAACGAAAGGAGTATATTTCACGTTGAAATTGGCAGACCAACCGCATTTATTCGAGCCGCCTAAAAAATGGATTTCATGCCCATGTATATCCTAGGGAAATTAAAGAGTCGATCCACGGAAAGCCAAGAATTTAAATTGGCCTTGATTTAGTGGGCAAGGCTCAGGAAGGCGAGGAGAGAGGAGAGAGGAGAGAGAGGGTAGGTGGGGACAGAGGGAAAGGGCGCAAGAGGCCAAAAGCTGTTCCTAGTTGTTGACCTAACGCACAAGAGGCCAAAACCCCGCTGTGGGCCGCACGTTATCGACCCCCAACCCTCTTTCCCCGTTTTTGTTTTTTCATTCATTGCCCCAAAAAGTTGCAAAATGGGGAGTGGGAGGGGGAGAGAGAGAGGGGAAGTTGTGAGAAACACGGCAATGCGTAGTGTAGTGTAGGGAGGGGTGAGCATGTCATGCATTTTGTATTGTAATGTGCGGCACATGCCTCGCCACCCCCGACTTCCTTTTCCCCGTCCTCTTTCTGTTTCTTGTTATTCACTCCCCGCTCCCTCCCTCCACCCACTTCATTTCATTCATTACACACACACACACACACACACACACAACCTCCTTCAAGGGGGGTCATAGAATGGGGCACGATTCGCTGTCTGGAGAACCTACAAAAAGATAGCTATATCCTTCTCAACACACCAGTCACATCCTCCATCATTTAACTCACTTTTGTTCTAAAAGTAGTTCAAATTTCGGCCTGCGCGGCTTCCCTTGAAACTGATGGTCAGGAAATTGAGATGGATTTTGGAGGTAAAAGGAATAGATATGTACCCAAAAAAATGGAACCCGTGAGCCCAAAAGGAAAAAAAAAGAAAAAAGAAAAAAAGAAAAGAAAAGAAAGAAAGTTGCGCGTCCGTCCAGGCATAGGGTCGGTATAAAATCTCAGGATTAGTATAACGGACCGGTCTTTATTTGACTTTTTTCATTTGGAAAAGTGATGTTCCTTATCAATTTCCGCTTTGATATATATATATATATATTTTTTTTTTTTTCTAAATAACATAAAACATAAAAAGATAGGGGGGGTAGCATGGAGCAACAGTACAACAGGGATTGTGGAAGGAGTTGAAGGCGGAAAGCAGAGAGAGGGATTGCAGATGGAGGGGAGGGGGAAGGTCACGTCCGTACAAGGGCTGCCATCGGCAGGGACGGGAGAGACGGGAATGAGCGTGCACTGAATACGACAAAATCCAAAGCAAGCTGCCGCGTTGTATTGTTGCGTGCTCGAAGGCCCAAAAAGAAAAAGAAGGAAAAGGCGAACGAGGTTGGCGCCTGGCCAGATGACAAACGACGTGGCGTCAGGCGGCCTCCGCAACCTGACAAAGACGCGCACTCGCACCGGAGTCCCATTCCTACGCTCGGCAGTTCCGTGTTTAGATCCTACAATTGCTTCGCAGCAGGATGAAATAAATGAATTAACGAGAATCATAGAAATGTGGTGGAAAAGCAGGGTCGGGAAAAAGATTTGTCGGGACGTGCCATGGCGTGGGGCGCACGCAGCAATATCTTTTGGCCGCATTTTCATTCCTTAAACATTCTTAAAACGTGGGGCGTCTTTCTCTTATCTGTCCTCCTTTCCTCTTCATTTTCCACTTCCATGCATCGTTTCAGAGCCTACTGTGAATTCCTTGCATCGTCAATCACGTTAATCAAATATGTCTCCCGTCATCAATCCTGAACACTTCTTCTACGGATCCTTTCAACGCATGACTCTTCCATTCTCCCCCCTACTATACTTGGCCAGTGTCTAGTTGGTGGTTGGAGGGGAGATAGAGTCCAGGGAAGAGGAGGTTCTATCATCAATGCTATTTCTGTAAAATAAATTAGTGGGGTTATAAAATTGAGATGCCAATTGAAATCGTGGGAGAAGTTAATCAAAATATTTTAATCCCACTTCTCCATTTAAAAAAAGAAGAAGAGCAAACTTGTTAAAAATGTGTCATTCCATCCTCCCCTCCAACCAAACAATCACTTTGGGATTTAAATTTCATATAAAAAAACAAATCTAATTTTTCATTCAACTCAGCAACACTCAAATCTTACCTTCTGCTAATGGCAAATGTCAAAAAAGTCCACGGCAGTGTAAAAGATCGAAGCAACATCTAAACTTGCTAAAGTCTTTTAATTTTCTTTCTTTCTTTCTTTTTTTTTTTGCCTGCTTAACCGGCCTATGACCATTTAAGTGTCAAATTATACCGAGTTTGAATCTCACTTGTATTACGGCCTCAGAATAAAAAACGAAAAAAAAAAAATCCCAACTGACAGTGTTACGTATGAGTCTATTACATATATTGAAAAGAAAATAGCCGCCGCCTTATTTGCTTAAGGTTGATACGAATAGAAAAATTTTATGGTTGACCAAATACATCATATCATCTATAATTTATTTAATAAAAATATAATATTTAAATGAGCCTAAATATAAATTAATCTTAATATATAATAACAATGGAGAGATAAAAAGCAACAAATTGAATATGCTAATTTTTTTTATTTTTAATCTAATAACTTAAGTTAATTTAAGTCTATATCCTTAAAGTTCAACCATTTAACTTCAGACTAGTTATAAAATCTTAGTTTCACACTCAAAAATCCTTTTTAACCCATTTTTTTAGATTTTAAATCCTTAAAATTCTCTAATTCAATTTCTCTATTAACTAAACTTAGAAATATTAGGGTAGAAACGTGGTAAAAGGCGGTATGAAACTTACTTGGCAAGTCATTGGTCGAAACAAACTCCCAAACTCTAGATAATTTATGCCTTAGCAGAGACAAGCTCTTCTCTCCCTTTCATGCACGATTTTCCTTTCTTTTCCTTCTATTTTCACGAGTTGAGCACCTCAATTTTATGTAAATTTTGTGCCGCACCACGATGTGTGGCATAGTGAGATAATTCTCACTACTGCTCGAGCATTATATTTTGATTCACGATTCTACCATCAAATCCTGCAACCACACTAACCAATCAGCACCATATGATAGTCCCTTATTCGAAACATAATCAAACAGTTGATTACTAATTTACCTTTGATCAGCAACTAGTTTTCTTGAATTGAAATTCAAAATGTTACAATAAATCTCAGCTTCACGACTGTAACTCTACTGAATCTTCCATTCATATTTTGCATGATTGTAAGGAAGCTTAAGAGGTTTGGAAAAAATTAGTGAATCCCACAACACTCAGTACCTTTTTCTCCTGTGACGTGCAAGATTGGATAATCTAAAATATTAAGAATGAAGCAGGTGGGTTGATTACTAGAAGAACCCCTTGGCAGAGATTATTTACCGAAGCTTGCTGGAATACATGAAAAGTTAGATGCAAGAAGATACACTTTGAAGATGATTTCCTAGAGAGCAATACTGCCTTCCCATGCACACAACAGATAATGAATGACCAGATTCAATCCAAAATCAATTAACTAAGCAAATATGATGATCGATATGAAGCTAAATGCAGTCCTCTTAAACTTGGTTAGGTTAGACTCGATGTTGATGGCTCAGTTAATATCGATGGTTTCCCTGACCGTGGAGGCATTATAAGAGATAATAAGGAAAATTGGATTAAGAAAATTTTCAAGAATCTTGGCTACTATCCCAGCATAGAAGCTGAGCTCTTGGGAATCTTAAAAGGCCTCAACCTTTATTAGAATGAGAATCTTTTCAATATTAACATATATTTTGATTCCATGGAGGTGTTATCGCTCATTGACAACAACCATTGCAATTCACATCCACTCTTAGTAATTATAAAGAGCATCAAATATTTCATCATGAGAAATTGAGTAGCTATTTTTTATAATGTCTACAAGAAAGTTAATAATTGCAATGATTTTTTAGCCCACAAAACATTTTGTGAAGATTTTGATATTTTTATTTTTAACAATTTGCCTCCCATATATAACTCTTATAACTTTAGACATAACTAGACATTAGTCTTTTTGTATAGTTTTTTCATGACCTTGTATGTAAAAAAATATGTCACAAAACAAGTACTCCCATCGACAGGCTCGCAATGTTTTTAAGATTTATTGACAATTTTGATATTAGAATTTTTTTACAATCCATCTTATGGATGTAGATTCTTCATGAAATTTATCGTCAACTGGTTGTAACTATTTTTGCATGAATATTTTATGACCTATTTTGTTTTATTTGTTTTAAATGAGTACTCACAGATGCTACTCACCACTTTCTATCTCTGTCGGATCGGATGAATAAAAATCTGGTCGCAAGAAATTGGTTATTTCCATTGATTGTGAGCAAAAAGAAGTTAATAAATACTTGAACCGGTTTGCTTATAAAGCGAATTAACGCAATCCGCATGTTAAAATCATTAACGACCATCCCATGAAATGGAATAAACTTTTATCGTCTGACTTATTTCAACTTGCTTATTCTTTCACAATGCTTTAAAAATCGAGCAGGATGTTAAACTGAAAAAATAAACTGTCTTTAGTTTTCATAATCTAACTAGTTAAATTAGCTGTAGAACCAGCAATGTAATAATTAAACAAAAAATAATATTAAATATATTCATAAAACATATATATATATATATATATATATATATAAGTATACATAGGCAATGTTATATGAAGGATAAGACTTATATATTTAATCTTATATATTCAATGTACTTTTATTTCATCAAATCAAGATGAGTGAATTTTAACATAGTAATAATAATATTTTGTTGTTGTATACATAACCAATAAAAGATAATTACGGGCCCATCAAAACTTATCGGAGAGGACAATATTCATGCTAAAATTAAATATTAACATTTTTAAGAAAATACTCCTCCCGTAAAAAAAATATAAAATATTTGTTAAGAGATTATATATTAAAAAATATAAAATATTTTTAATTTTTCAATGTACAATCATTGCTTTTTTTTAAAGTGTATACATTAAATAGATTATTTTATATTTATTTTAGGATAAAACACCTTAATAAATAGGGGTAAATAGATAAAGTTAGTTTGAAGATAATTAATTACTCTATTAGGATAAGATTTGATTAAAAATATCTTATATTTTTTAATAGAGAAAATATAATTTTAAATATTAATTAAAAGTAACATATAAATAAATTATATGAGGAGTTTACAAATATATATTAATTTCATTTGCATCATGAATGCATTTTTATAATAAATATAGAAGTGAATAATATTTTTAAATATACATGTTTGATATTAAGTAATTTTAAAGAACATGCGGTGCAATTGATATTAAGTACTTTAAAAATAATAATTTTAAGTGTTAAGTAATTTCAAAGAAAATGTGGTGCAATTAATTTTTAGGGGGCAGTAATAATTTTAAAGGGAGGCAAATGCAGTGTTAACCAAAAATTAAGTGCACTCTTTTTATTTTCATTGCGGGGGCAATTGCCTCCTCTTCGCTTCAAGTGGGCATGTCCTTGATAGAAAATTCAGGTGTCTTGATTTAATTAAAAATTAGCATATTAAATATATAACATTAAGTATATAAGTTATTTTCTAATATAAATTATAATTTTATAACTTTTTAAATGAAGATAGATGTTAATTAAATCAAGTATAAATAGGCTCAAGAAAAAATGCATTTGCATTGATAATTGTCAACTTCTACTTGAAAAAATGATTAAGTTCAATTTAACCCTACTTCAATTGTGAAAACATTTTTGATTTAAACCAAATCATTAATAATTATGGTTAACAATTCAACCAGTCCAACTATCTCGATTCAATTATTAAAATAATGTTCTTGCGTGACTTAGATGGTGGTCATGATATTATGGGAAAAGACTCAAAACATGTATTTAAAGGATGGACAAGACTTATATACTTATTTTTATATATTTAATATACTTCCATCCAATCAAATCAAGACATGTAAATTTTAATATATTAATAACATTAATAATAAAAATTTATTATAGAATAAATAATTTAGATATACATATTTTTAAAAATAATATTTTAAATATATAAAATTAAGTACATGGATGAGTTTTTTTTGTGAAAACATAACTTGGGTTGTGGAAGTGGTTTTTGCCCCCTCACCTTATCTTAATAAATATTCCCTTCCTTTAAAAATATAAGATATTTTTTAAAACATTGGATGTTCAAAAATATAAAATATTTTTAGTTTTTTGAGATGTAATTATTGTCTTTTTTTAAAAATATCTTTATTAATAATGACTTTATATTTATCATAAGGTGTTTAATAGAAGTATATATAAAAAAATAGAGTTAATTAAAAAATAAATAATTATTTAATTAAAAAATAAAATTTAATAAAAAATATTTTATATTTTTAAATGGAAGGAGTATTCGTAAAAGTTAATTTATTTTTTTATTTTGTTAATCATAAATGTTCTTCTTGTCTATACTTTTTATGAACAACGCCAAAGCGGACTAGCCAATGACCATCGACCAAACAAACTTGCAAGTCGCTAGTCACTCGTCACTTTCTCAATCCACCCGCCAAAAGACAAAGCCACAACAACATTGTTAACGAAAAATCAAGGACAATTTAGCAGTACTTTTTTCAACCAGCGAAGGATATTAGTATTTAATCTCTCTCTTTGTTTTTTTTTTTTTTTTTGTGACCAGCAGTACTTAACCTCTTTTAAACGGCTCGAAATAAATAATTATTTTCTACTGCGATTTGTATCCCTATAACTAAATAATTAATTTTTTTATTATCACTCCCTATCAATTGAGTACAAGCGAAACATAATCAATACCTAGTGCACATAAATAGAGGAAATAATTTTTGCAACATTAGGAAAACCAGGACCTCTATTAAAAAAAGAAAGAAAGAAAGAAAGTCTGGATTGGGTAATAATTTTTTAACCAAAATATTTTATAGACTGGATAATAATTTTTGAACCAAAATATTTTATACTACATGATTTAAGCGAGAATTCAAGGGGAAAACTTGTTTATATATTTTTTTTGATACAAAAAAAAAAACTTGTTTACATTTTAATTCTCGGAAAGAAGAAACAAATAGGAAATGGAGGGCCCCACATAAATAGTTTAATTCGGCCGCCCGCTTTGTCGTCTCTCTCGTCTCCGTTCACCCCCGTCGTTCCCTTGGGTTTGACCCTCTCAACCTCTCCCTCCTCTGTCTTCTCCTTTTCTCTATAGCCTCTGTCCGCTTCTACCTTCACTCTTCCTTCTTAACCTTCTCACACTCCATTCTCTCCTTCCCCATCTCTTTTCCGGTATCTGTGATCTTCCTGCTTGTTTTGAGCTCCCTCTGTTCTCATTGTTTCAGATAACTGCCTCTTCTTATTCGATATTTTAAACCAAGAATTAGTCTGGAGAGGTTTATAACTCACTGACCTTGGAGACCGCGAGAGAGGGGAGAGACGCCTACAAGTTCTCTGCTTGCTCTCCTCATATCACTTGAAGGCTTTCCCCCAATCTCTTCTCTCTTCCTCTCCATGTCTCCAAATTATTGTTATGAGGCGGCATAAAAGGGTGTTTCCTCTGAGGATCATTTTCGGCTTTTAGGCATTTTCTTGGTTTTGGTACAAATCTTTACCATACAAACGACAGGGAAGAAAGAGATACATGGCTGGTAGCAATGAAGTCAACCTCAATGAATCCAAGGTACCTTCCTTCATCTGGCAAACTTTTGGAGCTGACTCTATGGTTTCCCGTGTTGCTTGCTTGCTTTCTTTTCTCCACGTTTCTAATTATGCCGTATGTTGAGTTTCGAGTTTTAGGGAAAAGTTCTAATCTTTTTCTTCGATTGATGGCCAGTCTCGGGTGATTTTCGAGGAATTATTTTCCCCCTTTCCTGATTCTAGTTAATAATGCGAGAGTTTGCGTTTTATGATTTTTCTGGTACTTTCTGTATCTTCTACGTAGGTCCCGGATTTCTTGTTCTGGTAAGTTGGAACTTTCTGAGTTTGATTTGGTGCGCCGAGTTGAAATTTTCTTCTTTTATTTTTGAAGATTTGTGGGGTTTATTTTGGCGCACACTCGTTTGTTTTCCCTTTTGGCTTTGGTTTTTCATCCACCTTCTCAATAATTTTCTGCTTTTGCGAGTCGTAAGAGCTTAGTGCCTCCTCTCATGTAGAGCAGTTTTTCTGTGAAGTTATTAAGGACTTGAAAAGTTCTCTGATTGGCAGGATTTCTGTGATTTAATGTACGCAAGCGTTCTAATTTCTTCAATCTCGGTGCATTTTGCAGAGTGTCGTTCCGTTGAATACTTGGGTTCTTATTTCCAATTTCAAGCTGGCCTACAATCTACTTAGACGCGCTGATGGAACCTTCAACCGCGAGTTGGCCGAGTTCCTTGACCGGAAGGTGCCCCCTAATGCAATTCCAGTGGACGGGGTATTCTCTTTTGACCATGTTGATAGAAACACCGGCCTCTTCAATCGGGTGTATCAACCAGCTCCAGAACATGAGTCTCAGTGGGGTATTATAGAGCTTGAAAAGCCCCTGAGCACGACCAAGATCGTCCCCGTCGTAATTTTCTTCCACGGTGGAAGCTTCTCTCATTCCTCTGCTAATAGTGCGATCTACGACACTTTTTGCCGGCGTCTCGTCAACATTTGCAAGGCGGTTGTGGTCTCTGTGAACTACCGCCGATCACCGGAACATCGATATCCGTGCGCATACGATGATGGATGGGCTGCACTTAAATGGGTTAAATCAAGAACGTGGCTTCAGAGCGGAAAGGATTCCAAGGTTCATGTATACTTGGCCGGCGACAGTTCAGGCGGTAACATCGTTCACCATGTGGCGGCGAGGGCTGCCGAGGCTGATATTGAAGTGCTGGGTAATATCCTGCTTCATCCGTTGTTTGGAGGGCAGAAGCGCACAGAGTCGGAGAAGAGACTTGATGGGAAGTACTTCGTGAGATTACAAGACCGTGATTGGTATTGGCGAGCTTTTCTCCCAGAAGGGGAAGACAGAGATCATCCAGCATGTAATCCATTTGGCCCTAGAGGGAAAAGCCTTGTAGGACTCAAGTTCCCGAAAAGTCTTGTTTGTGTGGCTGGTTTGGATCTTGTCCAAGATTGGCAACTTGCATATGTGGAAGGTCTCGAGAATTCTGGCCACGATGTTAAACTACTTTACCTGAAGGAGGCCACAATCGGGTTCTACTTCTTGCCAAACAATGATCACTTCTATTGCCTTATGGAGGAGATAAACCACTTCGTGAATTCTAACTGTTAATACACTAGTAGCACTTTCCACTGCTGCTGCTACCACTTAACCTTACCTGAAGAAGGCTATACATGACGAAAGCTTGACCATTTCCCTTGGGTTCTTTTTCTTTCTATTTTTGTATCCGCTTTTTGCACTTCCCCTGCTTTATAGTGGTGATGTGTAGTTATAAAATTGTGTAGCATTACGTCTTACTTACTGTCATAACATCTGTGGTGGTCAACTATTAAGAGTTCTGTTACTCCTTTGAAGGGTAGCGCCTGTTTCAGCGAGCGTGCTTCAAGTACCAGAACTCTTTTCATTTGTTGGGTTTGGCTGAACCACCGTATACGAGGCTTACCCCATTTTTAACACTTTGACCTCATCAACAGGAGGGAAGATGGAGGGTATGGCTTCATTGATCACGTTGAAGTAAATGCATCTCTGTGGCAGCACATTCATTTTTGAATGTGAACTGCAGCAGGTCCCTTTCTGTTAATGAACTTGTATGTAAAATACCTCTGTTCTATTTATATATAAATGTTGCCTGTTTGCCCTTGTTTCAGTTGAAGCTAGTGCATTAATTTTTCTCTGTTGCACTTGCATCGCGCTCTATAGTTAATGGCCAAAAATGGCACAACGAAGCTTTGAGTTGTGACTGACACAGGGAAGGATCACTATCAACAGTCACTAAGGTTCTGAATCGTTAATGCTCTCTTTACATCTCAGTTAGGCATGAAACATGAGAGTCGCCTGAAAATTGGTGCCAAGAAAAGCGCTAGTTGGAAAAGGTGAAAAGATTATAGTTTGTGTTTGCCTAGTCATTAGTCACAAAGGAATGAGCTTAGAGACTTGGCGAAGAGGACCATCCTGGTTGCAAAAGACGAACCCCATCCACTGAAAACTTGAACAGGAAGAATGATTGGCAGGAGTTTGAATCATGATCATGAACTCGGCTGTCTTTCAACATCAAATTGATTAATTCCTGTCACCCCCGTATTGCATGTTCTAGATAGGTCTGTTTTGGAGCCTGGGGAAACAGCAAAAACAGGAATTTGGATTTGTTTTGATGGGAGGAACTATTTTACTAGTAGTTGGGAACTTTGGATGTATTCTTGGCCTCTGGGACCACTTTTAGGGCACCCACAAGCGCCCAAAACTTGGAATTAAAATATTAATCTTGTTGGGATTGCTTTGAAGTGCTTCGTAGTCACTGAGTGGCAAGAACAGCTAAGCTTGGACAAGGACATGGAACCCTGTCTTTTGTTGACTTTCTTAGCCCTCCCTTTAAAAATATTTTATCCTTTTGTTGTTTTGTTTTGAATCAGAGTGATTGGGTATTATTAGGATTTTGTTTGAAGCTTAATAAAACCTTTCTTGTGCAGATGATTTTTCTTTGCTTCCTGTCTTATTATGATGTGTCTCTTGTGAATTAGCTGTTTGTGCCTAGAAATTATTCCCTAATACGACAAGTGGGAGTCATTATCAACGAATGGGGTTTTCTTTAATGCGTTTTATGGGCAAAAGAAACGTAATTTGCTTGTTCGGTACCAAGCTCTTTTATGCATTAAACTACTTGTGGTTTTGCGCGTTTCTATTTAGAGTTAAGAATATAAGCGAGCTTGATTTTTAAGGGATCGGCTCTTGAGCTTGATTTTTCATTTTTAATATCTTTTTTGAGGCTTAACCTTTATATAAAGGGCTTAGAGCGGACCCAGTAGCCTTGTTCTAAAAAATAAAAAATTAAAATAAAATTAAAATTACAAATTAATAAAAATATTTTAAAATTAAAAAAAAATAAAATCCTCACAATCTTTTAAAAGTTAAACAATATATTTAGAAATCTAAGCAACAAACATTCATCAATCAAAACTTAAATCCTCACCATTTACAAATAAAATACTAGATCTCTCACATGTAAGTGCACTGTTAAAAATAGAGGTGAATATTCAATGTCAATTATCTTTATAATTTTTTCATCACCTATAATATATATTAATTAAATTGTGTCATTATCAATTAAATCGACATGTGTGTATATAAATAAAATAATCAAGTTTATCAAGGTTTGAAGGGTTACTCAAACCCGAGCCCTTTTTTACAGAGCTTATCAGGGGCAGACTTTTAAGCCCAATTTCTTAAAAAATTAATTTTTAAAGCACGAATTTTTATTTAAATAGAGTCTACAAACCCGACTCTTCAAATTTGACCTTTATTTCCGACTTTATTCCCACCATTATGACTATTCTCATATCCATCTCATCAGGAATTGTAGGTCCACGCTTTATAATAATAAAATATAATAATGATCAAATTCCCGCTTGTTTTACTTTCGACCAAAAATGGTTTCCGGAGAATTTGATTCTTGCTTTGCTGAAGAAATTAATCCCTGAGATCCGTTGAAAGTGCATCCGTTGGACAGCATGATGGGCTTATAATTTAGTGATTACATGTTCAAACAGTGAGCACGAGAAGTGACGCGACCCTCCTCTAAATCAATGGGCTCTGGTCGAATCGAGAATGATTAAACCAAGTATTCCATGATTAAATATGATATTGTTCCCAGGCTTTGAATGATTGTAGGTCAACTGGGGCCAGGCCACACCAACCCCTCTGGCAAGAGGCAATCTTTATAAGAACATGAGCGACAGAGTTTGCATTTGGTAATAAAAAAATGTGGGAGGAAAGTCAGTGGCATCTCATCACTCGGGTCCTCATTTCTTAATTAAGCAAATGACTCCTCTCTGATGCAACTGACTTTTTAGCACAAATAAAGACCCAGTTGATGTAACATCAATGCTCTCCTGCGGTTAAATTCCGAGGCGGAGACAGGCAAGGGAATGAATAGTGACGAGGGAAAAGCAGGTTTTCACCGGTGGAAAGGCCTTAAAGTAAAAGGTGTGGCCAGTGAAAAGCCCGCAAGATTTAATCTCACGAAAAAGAGACAAGACGAGCGAGACAAGAGGTGAAAACTATAAATAGGAGCTCAACTACCACCAAAGACACAGTTTGGAACAAGTAACTCGGTTGGCATGACCTGATGAAGCATCAAAATCAGGGAACAGGTGGCTAGTGCGTTGCATGGGTAAATGAAGCTGGGACCTACTTATCTCTTCCATTTATCTTTTTCTTGGGCAGGAGTAACGCTTCTGAACCTCACAGCTCCCTCATCCCGACTTATCCAAACCGGACAATGTCCACGCATATGTGGAACTCAACTTTTCGAGTAATGTTGCTCAAGGGTAATTCACATTCTTCTTGGAGACCGCTTTCTAAAGAATGCAATATCCATAACCATAATGTCACGAACATCATTCGGTATACATGCTTGAAGAATTTCTGAGATTTATTGGGGAGGGGCCCAAAAAAAGGGTTGGGGCTGTGACAGTTTAAGGAAAAGACTAGCATCAGCATGTTATCCTGCAGAGATCGCAGAGTTGTTCTGAAGCTGAAGAAGACGGAATACGATTTTTTATTTTTTATTTTTTTGACGATAAGAAATCACATCAGTAGCATAATCACCTTACAATGTGAGAGAGAGAGAGAGAGAGGGGGGGGGCAGATCCTGAGAGAAAGAGGAAGCAGAGAGATGTGGTGACAGCAAGTGAGAACCTGAAAGGGATTAGTTACGCTGGTGGCGGAGGATTGGGGTTGTCTGGAATTACGACAACTCTGCGTCTGCTGCATCTCAGAGATTCCCTCTTCTTTCACCTATCTGTCTCTCGGAACATTTTTTCACCTATGCATATTTACTCTCTCACTCTCTGTTTTTTTTTTTAAATAAATCAATATTACTATTGTATCTTTTAATGCACCAACTTACATACACCGCTCTTATCTGACGCAGACTTTATTGATATCAAATAATTAATAACTTAGAAACATGTCTCCCTGTATTACTGTAATACATAGAATTTGATAGATGATTGATCGATTATTAGTTATCATCGCAATTATATTTTTTCGTTAAAACCACCGTTTATGTTGCATCGTTGCTCATCGATCCTCCTTTCTCATTTTCCCTTTCACGTGTCCTCCTACCGATCTAAATGTACAATGCCGGGCATATAGTAAAATATATGGCGCCAAATAAATAAATAAATTATTAACTTGTTTAATTTTCTCCTATCACGTGTCCTCCAATCGGCCTGTTTCCGAGCTTCCAACTATGTAATCTTTTCTCTTGCGACTAGTATTTATTTTCTGCCAAGTAATTTGACTTTTTTTCATAAAAAAATACAACTCCTTATTGAATTATATTTTTCAATTCTAAATTCTAGGTTGTAACTAATTATATACTTTCTACTCGTCTTACGAGAATATCTTGAATATGTGGAAGAATAAAAACTAAAAAGGTTAAACTTTAAAGATCTGCGGGCCTCTGGTCAACCGGAAAAAAATATCCGTGGGCGGGATGTCAGATCCCGAAATCCCATTACGATTGGGCTCAAAAACCGGAAGCTTATTTAACTTTGGACCTTTTTGCTCCGCTTTATTCAATCCAAAGGACCCAATATTTTGTTTCTTTCAGGTCGTTCTGACATAAAAAAATTAAGAGTGATGGCTCTCTCTCTCCCCACTAGGAATCTCTCTACAGAGGCTCACTGTGTTCAGTCCGACAAGGAAGATGATCAGCTTCGTCGAAGTTCAAAGAAGATTAAAAATGCTAATGCTGAGAAGAATACGACTCTCCTTGAGGGTCACTGGCCGAAGCTGGGAGAGAAAGAACCTGATAAAACTACAAGCAAACCTGCGTTTGCAGAAAAACTCGAAGGAACGTCCAGGGATGTTGACTTCTCAGATGATGAAGTGGAGAAGGATGATAATAGTCATTCTAGTGAACCTCAGAATAGTGGAGAGAACCTTAAATCTACGGAACCTGATGTCAACATTATAGAGGACCCCAAACGTAGCTTCCCCACCTTTTTTTTTTCATAATGAGTGAAGAAGAGGCTCTATAGGGCGTGGAAGAGGGCTGTGATTGTTAAGCTCTTGGACAGACCGATGCTCTTGAGTCAAGGCTCCAAACTATGTGGGCGAAAGGAGGAGTGATCAGACTCATCAACAGGGGATACGACTACTTCGTTGTTAAGCTCTCTAACAAAGAAGATTATTTTAATGCTTTGAATGGAGGCACATGGATGATTTATGACCACTACCTCACAGTCTGGCCTTGGAAACCCATATTTAATCCCAGGAATGCTACCATGGACAAGGTAGCTTGCTAGTTTAGAGTACCAAAGGTTTTTCTTGAATATTATGATGATGAAGCACTTACATTCATCAGCAATAGAATCAGCCAAACCATTAAAGTAGATATTCATACAACTTGCCAATTGAAGGGCCATTGTGCTCAAATGTGTTTTAGTTGATCTTCGCAGACAACTAATGTTGTATTTCTTTTAGAAGGGGGAGGATTATTATCTAGAGTATGAAGGTCTACACATGTAGTGTGTAATGTTTGCTTTGACATTACCAAAACAACACACTGACACACCGTTGTGATAATTGGGATTAAACAAAATCTCTAGTAAAAGGTATTACAATCCAAGGGTTATTAGAAGTAATTAATTTAAAACAATGGGATCCTAAAAAAATTCTTTTAAAAATATTGTTTGAGCTCGAACTAAAATTTAAAATCAATCAAATGTGATAATGGAAGCATGAAAACCATAAGCATCTGAAAATAAGATAATAAAATTTGAAAATTTTTTAAAAACTGGCCCATCCACCGCGGCGGATGGCACAGAGGGACAAATCCCTTAGCGAGCATTTGTGGCGTGGAGCAATTGCTATGTGCTGCAGTGCACACTTACTGTCATGACAACAGACATCACTTTGAACTTCCGGAGCACGCTGTTTTGCCATTTGATGCTCGATTTGAGCAATTCAAGTGTTCACACGAAGCTCTTCGAGCCCTCTAACTAATGACATTGTCTCACATTCAAATAATTATCCATTAAAAAGATGAATACCCAAATTTAAAATGGTTCATTTTCACCTCAAAATACTTTCAAAAGTGTCCAAAACATATTACCAAATGCCATAAACTTCAGAATCACTTTGACCACCTCAAATAGACCACACACTACACACATGATTGTTCATATCACACAATTAAACAAATATACTCAAAATGATCACTAAACCCCTAATTCATAACAATATAAAGAGGTGAATAAAACTTAATACAAATATTATTTTGGTCATTTTTACATATAAATCATCACAATTATATCACTTGTAATTGTATCTTAGCTAAACACACTCATTCAATCACAATAACATCAATCTTAGGCTAAGATACACACACATATCACAAATCTTCATACAAGTGATACCAAAACAATGTTATGATCCTAAATTGGCGTAATATTTATGACA